CCCCCCCACGCCTTTACTTAATTTGTAATTATCTTTGCAATGCTTTGTACCTGAAATGTAATTTTAGTGTCGTTATAAACAGGACAAATTATAAAACAAAATGTATACTTTTTATCTACAGTAAGGTTTTTTTTTGACAGTGGACAAAGTACAAAAGAGTTTTTAGTTTTTTCTTTTTATATATTTTTGTCTATGTAATGTATTAAAAATAAAATAATAATCCACAGAAGAAAGCCTTTTTTTGTCCTGAAAAAAACCTATACACCTACTACTTTGTTATCCTAAGGAACAATAAAGTTATTAGAGAAAAAACAGGCTTTTAGCAGAAATGTAGCAATTTTTGTCTGTACCATAAAGTGTATACAGGTGTGAGAGGTGACACGGTTAAAGACCATTTATAAACTACGTCTCCGCTCTGTGTTAATGGCAAATAAGTCTAAATAATAATGGTCTGGCCCTCTAGCAACTTCAGCGCGGAATTATAGCTAATTAGCCTACAAACGTCAGGTGGTCATAATAATCTGGCCACTCAGTGTATCATGAAAGATTAGGAAGATAAGTGTAACTAACACATTGCACACACTTCCCTACATATTCATATTACACTTCCTGAAGGTTATTTCGTTTTAGAGAGGAGTAGTAAGGCGATAAAACCAAATAGAAAGTGTGAATCTCAACAGTGGAGACACAGATAGCAATAAAAACCCAACAGGGGCTTCAAATCTTCCTCACACTGTAGAAAAATAAATGTGGCTTTAGATTTAATTTAAACTATATCCCTGCTCCTTAAAATATGCCACAACAAAACTGTTACAATGATTCCTACTAAATCAGTGATATAAATGATAACAGTTGTCAAGGATATGATTTAGAGTACAGCAACTATAGATGGAATGTATAAAAAGTCATTTGCATTTCGGAGCAGAGGTTTTATTCCCTTTGAAAACTATCCGTCTTTATGTGTTAATTTTCTTATTTACTTTTTTTTTTTTTTAGAAGGGCTGCCTCTTGCTAAAATTATCATAGGGATGTCACATGCTCATTTTAAGAAACAAGCAAAGCTTTGTAAACTTCTTCTATCGTTGCTAGGTGCTCATGAGCAGTAATCTAGAGCAAGTTGTAAGAAATGTTTTTGTTCAGCAGTGTAAGCAGACTCAACCCAATTACAGCTCATTTTACTTGGTGACTGCTTATTGTTAGTCTTTGCACTAAATGGCCCTGTCATTGAATGAATCTGACTGCATTATACAATAAAGAACTGAAACCAGAAACTTTAACAAAGACATAACCGTTGAAGTGTCCATTTAATAGGTCCCTTGGCAATTTGCTTTATCTAAGCACGCCACTCACACTCTAGCAACAGATTATATAATTTACAATGTACAACAAAATACATCTGACATCGTGTATGGGCCCGATTCATAACGTCAGCCAATGCATTTCATTAAAATACTATCAAACCAGCAGTGCCATCACCCATGCAATAAAACACTTATATACAGTCCCTAGCTTCTGTTATACAATTCTTGTACAAATTAAAATATTTTTACAAAAAGAATTCTTTGTTCAAAATGTATAAAGTTTAATGAATGACCCCCCCAAAAATTGTAAGGTTCCTAGGTATAAATGTTAGCGCAATTCTGTTTAATAGTTTGAACAGTTTAACAGCAATTAGGTTGAAATTACAGTGAGGAAGGCACTTGGCTTGTTAACCCCCTCCCCGATGAAAGACAGTTCTGTAAGTGATAACACAAGACACTTAAGATGTGGTCTGGGCATCTGTCCTTGTCAGCAGAACACGCTCCAAAATTACACAAATCAGCAGAATATTTCTTCTAGAATATCCATATTTTGGCAAGAACAGAGCTCCCCCATGAATCCAGGACTAACTTAAACAGGGAAGGGGTTAGGTGAGTAGGCTTGAAGATTCAGCACAGGGGAGGTTTGTAGACTACCCACTGCAGGAGGGTATAGCCCCTTCTCCCTGGGCTCCACCAGCTGTTGGAGCATGGCCCTGGAAATGCAACTAGCTGCACCTCATTGCACTGCTGTACCAAGGTTGAGTGCCTAACACAGAGTCCAGTGGCTAAGCAACATTAGAAGCTGTCCTCACGTTTTTTTCCCCTGGTAGGGTCCAGGTACAGTCCCTGAGGCTTACCATGAGGCACCGATCCAGAAGCTGCAAGATCACTGCCTTAATTACTTGGGTGCATTTGCGTTTGAGGTGAGAGTCCTTTTTGGAAAGTTTGTAGAGGTAGAATTAGCCAGAAACCAACTTTTATTACAAGGAAGTTGTCTTTCACGTACGCACATTAGAAAAAACTGAGGAATGCTTGGAGTGTAATAGGTTTAATTGGCCTATTCACAATTCTATTTGCCAGTCTCCAATCACCTGATCTTGGCTGCATAAAACCCAGGGTCTATGTTTAAAGAGTCTGTGTCCTGTATTGTAGGATTAACTCTGTACACATTGTGAACATTTTCTGATACGAGTGAATGTGTGTATAATAGATAGATAGATAGATAGATAGATAGATAGATAGATAGATAGATATCTGCTGATAGAAACCTGTAAATATGTGAGGAGCCTAAATCGTCACCTGCTGGTTCAAAATAAGAATGCACAGTATTGTGAAAATATTTTATATTTAAAGAAAGTAGAACATGTGTACATTTATTATGGTCAGGACTTGTATGAATGTATGCTTTAGCGTGCATTGCATATGAGCTGTGCATGATTTATTGGATCTTAACCAGATAAAAAAAAAA